GAGAACCAAGTGCAACCATAGACTTGTGTACAAAATCATAGATGTGAGAAAATCCAAGGTGCCAATTTGGAGGATAAGGATGACCAAAAAAAATTGAGGATAAGTGTGTCAACTTGTTATACTCTCCTCTTAGCTTCCTTGTTGGCTCCTGCTTGTAGGGGCTGGCAGATAAGCATTGGCATTTTATGTGATCCGGATTCTTCATTGTTACTCCTTCAAGGAGGAAGTAAGCCTGCCGTACAGATTGAAATATCACAGCTACAAAATTTGATTTAAATACTCGAATTTTCCTTGACCATATATGAACTCAAAAGTGATTCCTTTATAATAGTTATGGAATTAAACCCATCACTTTCCAACACATTCCAGAACTAAATATGCTCAGACCTACTCATCATACTATGGTAAGGTGAATTTGCAATCTCCAACCAACCAAGGCCTAAAAATAATTTTGGAAAACAATTTCCATTCTGCAATCACCATACTACACTAATCGGACAATGAGTGCACCAGTGGTAAAATCCATATTTTCCTCGAGTACTTATTCATTTCTTATCCTTGTTAGAACTATAGAAGACACACTTGGCCCTGCTTTCCAGTCCCATAGGACAACAAATTTCTTATGCCCTTTTTTCAGTTCCCAAAGTATCACCCAATGGACAGCCATCTGCTTGAAAAGATGAACGAACTTTAATTCTACATTCTCTAAGTAAACAATAAAGTGGCTATCCAAACGTTTTCTGGAACTCAGGAACATGGGGAAAAGGCAGATAGGCTCCTGATGCTTTATTTAAGTCTCCAGGCTGTACCCACATAGTATCATTTTAATCATAAGAGACAGGACACCCTGATGCTTCATTTAACCCAGATGGGAGATTGTGTACGCTGAAAGTTGAAGGGACGGTAGGTCCACTCAAAGTTTATACTCAGTTAAAGATCGTGACATAAGGGAGAAATTCCTTGAGTTGTAATTGCTTTGTGAAATGCCCCTATAAACTGTTGATTCTTCCTCATCTTGACCATCTAGAGTATCGTTGATATGGCACCCCATGATATATCCAGCAAGCTCAGTTGGTCTTCAACAAGTATGCATTAAAGCTTTGGGGGTGGGAAAAAGCCTTCCCCACGACCATGAGCCACACTGGCCTGTCCCAGACAAACAGGCATTGCACAGGGCAGAAAAAACACCCTTGCCAGGAGGAACAACAAGATGGCTGAATACCCACACTGATCAAGTAAGCGGAGTGGAGGGTTGTCCAGAGCAGACATAAACATGTCAACCAATATAGCCTTGCCAGCAGTATCATTCCATCTATTAGGAACAGCAATGAGTTTAATACCAGTTCTCTGGCAATTCTCTTTAAGAAACCTGGAAAGGAATTAAAAGCCCAATAAGTAGAGAACGTCATATATAGCAGCCCCATTAATCACATGATGCGCCTGCAAAGCCGTTCTTATATTCCGAGAACTTTATCTTGCTGTGATGAGTGGCTGAAAAGAATGGACAAAAAGAATGGTAAAAAACTTGGCTTCTGTAGAGCATTCTTTATTGCCATTGCAGAACTCCTTGGATAAAGAAAAGGAGAAGATGGATGGTCGCACAATTCCTTTTCAGAAAGAAATGAAGCAGTCATCAGTCCTTTTCAACCGAAAGCAACATTACTGTAACTTCAGGCAATTTTTCTAAGAGCCACTACAACCTTAATTTATTTCACAATAAGTTTGTGTTTTGCCTGGAATGATTCAAGGCAAGTGTTAAACAATATAAGGCAAATTCCATCATCATCGCTCAAGTGCCGAATAATCCAATGCAACGTGAGAATTCCTACAAATAAAGCTTCTTATTGAATTCCATACTGGCTAAGAAAGAATATCAAATGAATTTCTATTTAATAATGAGTTTTTCTTCATTTGGGTCCACTCTAGCTCCTTCTAGCTTCTATTCTTTTAGAAATTACAGAACCTACTGTTACAAATTAAAATCCTCTCTGAAGAACGAAGTTCTACAGGGAGATTCTCTGGTTGTGTAGTGTAGTCAGTGTCTGGAACAAGGAATAGCTCCATAACTACAGCAGAACTTGAAACCAAAAATACTAGAATCCTTGGCCTCTTAATACACACAGGTGCCATATTCTGTCTGTCATTTTTCTCATGTGTTCTATTCTACATATTCTGATCAACAGCATATACATAAAACCGCATTTAACTTGCAGATAAGCCTTCAAAAACTTATGTGAAGCACAAAATGGTCGCTGAGATCCAACTAGCAGCAAAAGATCCAAAACTGATGCCTGAGGCACTCTGTAAGTTAATCCAATCCACACCATCACACCACACCCAAAAAACAGAAACAAGAAAACAAATAATGGCAATATCAGGGAAGATTGAAATAGCACCAAGAGCGAAAAACAGCTTGAAGAAAGATAATCAACAGACAATCTTAATGGAGCATTAAGAACCAATCTTTTACTCAAGTTTAGTTTGGTAAACCAGTCAAACCACCCCTATTAAGCTTATCTCTGGGATCAATATGGCAAATTTATGCAGACATTATATAAACTTTTGAAGTACTCCAAGCCTATTAAATTTCACAAGAAGCAATCAAACAGCAAACTTTACCTTTTCCTACCACTTAGCATCATCAAATTCAAAAGATATAAACCTTTTGAAGTACTCCAAGCTTATTAAATTTTATGAGAAGAAGAAACAATCAAAGCAGCAAACTTTACCTTTTCCTACTTCTTCGAATCAAATTCAACTGGGTTTCCTGTGTCTGATTGAACAACACCTGCGATGTTTATCATCTAAATGATCCTGTTCAAAGACACCCAATTCCAAAAACAAAAGAAACGCAAATCACTAAAGAGCAGGATGCAGGAAGTAAAGTTTTTGCAAAGAGAATTCCCACCTCCCTACGGATGTGCCACCGTTGCAAGCTAGAGGTTTTATGTTGGCCAGTTCAAACTTGAACAGATGGGATGGATTTGGGAAAGGAAAGACCTTCCTTCATGTGTAGTCATTTTACCTAAAAAAAAAAAAAAGATAATTCCAATACAAAATCAAAAGGGCCACTTGGAAACGCAATCCCCTGTTTCCACCTGCAGCGAATTTTCCGAATAACACCTGAATATCGAACAGAGAGGATTAGGGTTTAGGAGGGGTTCTAGATTTTTAGAGAAAAATCAAATCTCAAAAATTAATACCTGCAGGGATGACCTCTTCTTGTTGAGGCCCATTATCTTTTGTACTGGGCATGGATAGATATACAACATAACACCGGGCTTTAAACAGCTTACCATCTCGTTCAAGGGTGAGACTGGTGGTTTAGTTGTAAGCTGCATTGAAGATGAACTAGTTAATACCCCGGGCAATGCCCGGGCCCTTGAAATTAAAAAAATAGAATAAAAATTTAATATTAAATGAAAATTAGTAGTGAAAGGATACATCATTACTTAAAAAATATATATATAACAATGAGTTTTAAGGAATTTAATCTCAATTATGTCAATTCCACAATATATGCATATTTAACTGCTTGGGGATACAATAAAAAACAACAAAATACTCGCGATGTTGTGTCTTATTATAGCCATAGTATCCGTTGCCATATATGATTCACGAATAATATGGATGACGCAACCTCACTGTAAGGAATTTGCCATATGAGGTTTTTGCAATCAAATTTCAACTTGAAGAAATGAGAATTGTCTCATGTTACATAACACATTATCAAATGTGTTTTGCAAGAATACATTTACAAAAAACAATGGAAACTAAATCAATACCTTAAAAGTATGTTGTAATAAAATTCACCCACAATGAGGCCAGTGAAGCCTAGCAATTAAACTAACAGCAAAAGTTGTGAAGCCTATAGCAAAGCTCAAATAAAAGTACAGTTAAGTAGGTAGAATAGAATTAATAGCAAGTAAACTTTCTTTAAGAGATCTCTTTATACTAATTCAAAAATTAAAGAAGCATTTCTTGTCATTATCCAATCTATCGTTCTATGCAAAGTGTTGTTCTTGTCAAGTATCTTTTAGACCATGTTTAGACTTCCTTCACCAATACATAAATGCTCTTATCAATTCATAGTCACTAAAAAGTCAATGTAAAAAGTAGTAAAGTCAATAATGAATCCTAGTATCCTACATACATATACTTTATACTGCTGGATGATTTTACATCTATACTTGTAAACAAATTCCCAATTCTAACCACCTTTAACATATGTAATTATGTATTGCATTTTACATGTTGCATTTTGTTGTCTCCATGATACCCATAAAGGAGAAGGAAATAAACAAAGGCAAGGTAAAATGGTAAATCCCATAGCCTTAGGTTTACGTGCATCCAAGAAAATTCAGTTACAAACTATTGATTAGAAGATAAGGAAAATTCTAAATAATCAAAATGTTTTTTGCTCAAAAAACAAAGTTACTAACCAAAACCACAAGTACAAGGGAGTCAATGAGTAGTATCACCAACAAGTATTATTTAATTGTAGCAACATACAAACTTTTCAGCAACTTTAGCGTGCATCACCCATAGCTTTATATCAATACCAATTATAACTGAGAGCTCTCCACCAACGAGTTTGATTTGTTAACTTCTTGCATATCTACACAAATTTGCATTCTTTCAGAGTAATCGTTACAAAAAATGGAGAAGGAACCTTATTACATACCAAATCTTACAATTAAATTTTTTTTTAAAAAGTCCATCCCATATATCAACTGTTAGAATAGTGTGAAAATCATTCAAAAATAGTTATAATTAACTAATTTGTCTTGCGCATGAGATAATAATTGTATAAGCAGAAAGCTAAAGCCTGAGCTAATGCATATTTCAAGGGTTAATCTTTGGGGATTTGTATTTTAGGTCCTTGAGAGCATCAACCACTTTGGCACTACCAACTAACTTGATATGAATTTCATTGGATTTAGCCGGATCATCCCATAAATTATAGACACAGATCATTTTATCTTATTTGATTCGTCTAGCTTCTTCAAATTCCAAGGTAGTTAGTGCTAACAACTCTGCACAGAGAATTACATCTTCAATCTTTTCAATGAAAACAAACCTAAACCATTTGAATTTGCATATCCAATTTCAAGTGAGAAAGGACGATAAAGATGTAAGATATTCGAAAAGATAAACAACTGCAAAAGAATTTGTTAAAACTCGTAGCTTATTCTCAAGAATAATCATTTTGAAAATACAATATTTTGACTAATATTTATTAGATAGATTATGATAAAGAATTGGGAAAATAAAATTGGCAGAATTTGAAATCAGCAGGTGAATGTAAATTTCCAATGCATTGGAAATATAAGACAAAAGTGACGTCTTAAGTGAGGATTTTGATAACAGAATAGGCAAACCAATAGTTTTATTGATATGCAACAAACACCAAATTTTGGAAATATGATAGATAATAAATAGTGAAATGCATTCCCCAAATAGAAAAAAGTAGATAATCAAGGGAGATACACGAGCATTGTTTAGATGTACCAAAAGAAAAGATGAGTTGAACAAATCAACATTATACTGAAGTTAAAACAACATAACATAACATAAATCCAAAGAACATCAAAACCAACCTTACGATGGAAGCTGAGTAAGAAATCAATAAAATGCAATAAATTGAAATAGATTAAGGGGGAAAAAAAGAGCAAAACTTACTTGGATGAGATCAAACTCGATTTGGGCTTTGATCAACCTTGACAAAGTTGGCATCTCAAGCCTTGAGCATCCACGGAAACAACACAATCGTCAAACTTGGGAGGTTAAACACTATGGTGGAAGGGATCGGGCGGCGATTTTGGAAGTCAAGTTGGGATTTGACGATCGAGGATAAAGACTAATGCCAAGCCATGGACTTTGTAGATACTTAGGTTTAAGAGATGATTGGGGTTTCAATTTGTTTCCTTATTGAGAGTCCATGAGACATGTTGAATAGACTAGAGAAGAAGGTGGCATGAAAACACCCGATGGCAGTTGGTTCCAACATCAAAATCGTTCAACGGCCATGGCTTTAATGAGAAGGAGGTCCGACAGCAATGATGAAGAAATG